TATTATATAATTAATTAAACTTACATCAATCTTTATTAGCTATTTCCATAATCTATTACATTTCATTCCAGCTTACATTCCAATTCCAATTAGCTTCCACTATAAATAAGAACTTTCCCACTGGCTACAGAAACAACTTTGCTGTTTAACGGCATTTCCATTAATATAACAGTTTTCACGATCCACGCACATGAACACATAAATATACAATATGACAGTTGTTGTCTCTTTCTCGCTGACGCGCAGATCCGGCTTAATATCATTTCATTCATTTGGCCCACAAAATCAATTAAAAGCGCAATTAATTTGTTTGACAGCTAAAGAAAACAAACGCCAGACTTTTGAGCAAAAGCTCAACCAGAACAGCGGAAGAAGAGAGCGAGCGGCAGAGCGAGATAGGAGGAGGCAGAGAGCAGGCAAATTAAATGGCGCATAGATGAACAAATGAAACGCAAATAAAGAGCAATAGCAACAACAGCAACTACGACAGCAGCAGCAGCAAAAGCTCAGCTCTGATGGCAGCAGAGACGTAATAATAAAAGTAATTTAATTTTAATGAAATTGTTAATACGAAAACAATTTCATTTTGTAAAAAGTTTCACAATGCTGACGCTGCCGCCCACCCAATCCCAGCAGAGGCAGCATCAGGGGGCGTGGCAGGCAGGCAGGCAGGCAGGCAGGCAGCGTAAATTGCTCGTGACAATGAGTGAGTGCAAAGGAATACAAAAAGCACACACACACATGGGAAAAAGTTCCACAAACAGAAAAACAAATAAACAAAAGCGTGCGAAAAAGAGAAAACCAAAAAGCCAGCGAGCAGCAGCAGCAGCAGCAACAACAACAACAGTGAGAACAAATGCCGTCGGTAGAGTAACGGCAACAACAGTTGTTGGCAAACGGCAAACGGCAAACGGAAAACGGAAGAAGGAGAGAGAGAGAGAATACGAAAAATGAAATGCTGATGCGAAGATTTAATAAATGAAATTGGTGTGTGATTAAAAACACAAAAACCAAACGAAATCCATCTAATCAACTTTTGCTGCCGCCATCGTCCTTCTCGCCCTCGCCTAACTGCTGCTGCTGCTTCCACCTACCGCCCGTTAGGACACACACCACACCTTTACGATTTACAGTTAGCAGGAGCGACGGCGACAGCGACAGCGCAGCAGCAGCACACAGACGCAGCGACGCAGCCAGTGGGTGGCTGCATTGGAACGCCTACAAACCACAACTGGCGGGGTATAAATAGATACAGGGAATTTTAAAAAGGGAAATTCAGTAGGGATGATCTTGTCAAAGCTACATAAATGTATAAATAAAATATATGACGTTAATTTCCATTAATTTAATTAATTTCCTATTAAGATTTGTATTCTTTTATTTTGCATTTTACTCTCATGCATAAATATATCTATCATTAAATATGATAAGGTCCCTACTGCACGTTTTCCCACTTTTAAAATTTTATCTGCTAACACCTGGTCCTTTTTTCTGTTGGCTCCACCCCTATATATGTGTATAAAATGGCTGAATCTGTGCGTCTCGCTTACGCCGTATAGGAAAGCCTACAACTCTGCATTAGTTGGAAAGAGAGCGGCGAGGCAACAAATGAATAAAATTTACAGCACTTAGCTTTTGTCAATAGCTATAATATTTCCCTTTCTCAGCTAACTCCAGCACCGGCTATATCATGTACAACAACCTTATGCTTCGCTGCTGGTTTATGTATGCGCTCTAATTGATATTAACTTGGGGCTAAACTGAGCTAGAAAGCTCTAAAAGCTCGGCATGCCAAATATCTGCTAGATAAATCTGCATTCGAGATTTTAGTTAGTTTTCCATTAATTGAATTCTACAAATATAAATCTTTAGATTCTGTGACAAAAATAAATTTGTTACTTCGCTTATAATTAAATTTACTTATAACTCTACGCTCTCATTGCTTCTAATTGTCGTCTGCGGCTTGTCTATAACTGAAATCGGAATATTAGATAATTTCTGGTTAACGGCAGTTCAATGGCTACAGCACTCACTCAGTTACTCACGCAATTCTAAATTCGAGCTTAATTAAATTGATTTTAACTATCAACTAAGCCCCATCAAATATAACAACTACTTCGTTCCACTTGATTCCACTCGATTTCAATCATAAAACTCCCGCCCAGCTGCCCCAATGTGTTCCAAGCTACTCTCCAACTACAACTACCTGTTCTGTGGCTTTACTCTCTCAATTCTTACCTGTCTCCCTTTTTCTCTTCCATTGCTGTATATTCTCTTAGAATCATGCTATTATTCAAGCTCTCGCTCTTGCGTCCGTGTTTCTATGTTGACAAAGAAACATATAGAGGCGAAAGTAATCTCAACGTCTTTTTTGTCTGAGCTTAAGTTTTGTATATATTTAAATGAAATCTTGTTTCTTATTAAAAAAAGATAATATAACAAAGGTATTAAAAGAGTTTATATTTATGAGTGCTATATCAATATTTTCCTATTAAGCCTCGTATACAAAACAGCTTTAACAACTCAATCCACATGTCAGCGCGAGAGTAACATCCACTCTGTTTGATAATGCGCGCATTGCGCATTGCTAGTGCTCGAACGACTTTTCGGCTGCGCCAGTCTCTCAGTTTGTGTCTCGCTTCCGCAGCGTTCGCTCGTATTATTTAAGGTGGACGCAACGTGTGCTCGTTTTTGTTGCCGTCGATTTTAGTCGAACGCTAGTCGAACGATCTAGCGCATATCGCACTGTGTGCTCAATTCCAATAACCACAACAACAACATCAAGAGAACCGTTCTATTCCATATGTGCAGCGTTTGAGCATAAAATGTAAATGTTTAATAAATGTTAAAGTTGAATGTTAAAAAGTGTAACTAGGTATAAATTGAGAAGAAAAATTAAGCAGAAAAAAAATCATTGGCACGAAAAAAATGCACTTGTCAACCTCGCGGTGCATGCGAGCGAGCATTGTTGAGGAGGGGAGGGGAAGAGCGAAAAAGAGAGAGAGGGACCGCGCGCTCATTTGACATTTTAGTTAGTCGCAGCAGCCACACCAACAAAAAGCACAAAGCACGTTCTTTTTAATTTATAGTGGAAAATTAATAAATTAAACGTTTGCTGCTGCTGCCGCACTTGTTTTTGTATTTATATTGTGCATTCAAAGCGTGTAAAAAATTGCCAACAATTTGACTTAATTTATGCCTGAGGCTCACTCCACTCTCCTCTCTCTGTGTATCTCCCTCTCTTTCTCATATGACACATTTGCTTCGCTGTTGCAACGAAAATCAAAAGCTGCACTCCAACATCAATCAAAGCTTCCAAACATGCACTCGCCGCACTCCTTCTCTGTCTCGCTCACACTTGGTGGAAACTACAACAGAAACAGAGACAGCTGCCCACGCAGCTGCTTTAGTTGTGAATTTTGCGTCGCATTTTCTTTGCAAATCATTTTCCATTTGAGCTTCACAGCTGCTTTTCTACTTCTATGCATGCTTCTTCGTTCTGTTTTATAGTTTCACATTCTTATTTTTTTCCAATTTGTGTGCGCTGCTCGCTTCGTTTCTGTCTCGTTTGTTATTTGTGCCTGCCCGCGCGCATCTATTTTTAGCAACAATATTTTTGTTGTTGTTGCCGTAGCCTGGCTGCCTGTCAAGTTAACTACGCTACGCTGGCAGCGACGGCGACAGCGACCGCGGCAGCAACAACAAAGCACAGCAAATGCAGACAGACCAACTATGCGCGAGAGAGCAAGAGTATGTAAGAGAGCGAGAGTGCGAGAGCGCAGGTGATAAGAAGACGAAGGAGAACACGCGAGAGCGAGAAATGCTGTTCTGTTCACTTGTTTACCACGCTCAACAACTTGTTGCTCTCTCTCACACTCTCTCTTTTCAGTGCCCACGTTAGGCCTCAAAAAACAAAAAGAACAATAAAGCAAGCAACAACAAAAGCACTGTGACAAAGTACCAAAGTGCAGCGACGTTGTCGTCGACGTTGACGCTGCGTCGCCTGCATGCTTGCCTTAATTTTGTGCTTCCTGTGGAGAATGGACAAAAACAACAAAAACAAACAGTGGCAATAAAAAGCAACAAGTGGAAACAACATCGAAAATAACATCAGCCGAAGCAACAATAACAACAACAGCTTTCTTTAAAAGCCGGCTGCGCAGCATTAAGAAGAAGAACGCGCATAAGCATCGAGTGCCATAGTGTAAGTGGGAGAGTGCGAGCGGAGAGAGCACTGCAGCAATAGCAAATCAACTGTTCTCTTTCGGATCTCCTTTTGTTCAGCAACTTGTCAAAATGTGAGTATTAATATGCAATTATTGTTTACTGTTGCATGATTTATTATTTTACACGTACACATGTACTTATGAGTGTGTGTGTGTGTGTGTGTGTGTATGAGTGTATGAGTACACATGTATTAAGTGTTATTTATGGACTACGCCTACGATTTGCGATTGCACAATCGAGTGGAAAGTTGACGAGGCTATCGCCATTTTGAGCGCCCTTAAGCCGTGCCGTGTGTAAGTGCGTGAGTGGGTATGTGTGCCCTTGCGCCTGCATTGAATAAATAATGAAGGAGCTCAGCTTCAAAGCTCACAGAGCTTAAGCCCTTGCACGTTATGCTTATTAATATAGTTGTCATTAAAATACCCTGTAAGAGAATGAACTGAGGGTACATTGAAGCTGTGGTTAAAGTTAGGAAAAACAAAATGACAAAAAAATAAAAATTAATTGAAAAGAAAAGCTCTATGATTGCAGGAGAATTGTTTTAAATGAAGAAAATAATGTGATTGTTGCTTACATACAGTACAGGGTATCAATTAATTGGGTGAATACAAGTATATGTACATACTTAGAATACATAATATACACAGGCACAACTGTCGTAGGGGTATCAGCTAGTCGGTCAATCTTTACGTCCAGCCCTTTTGCTTATTGCATATTCATTTCTTTTGTATTCATTACCCACCCCAAAGTCCACACTCGATCGACTTATTGGTGTTGCCTTTGTTGTTGTTGTTTCWCGTTTATTTTTAGACTTTTGCCATAAAGTTTAGAAAACAAACAGCGCAACGCGAAACAACTGCGGAAAAAAGACAAAATAAATAAAATAGCTGACAATTTGTGCCATAAAATTATTCGAGTATTTTGCGACGCGTCGCCTGCGTCGACGTCGGCGCCGGCGTCGTTTTACAACTGCGCAGCTCTTGAAATCGCAACAACAACGGAACGAAGAACAACCGTTACTATCGGCTATCGCTTGTTTGTTCTGCCACTTGGCCAATTGAATAACTGAATAACTCTAACTGTTTAAAGCGAACGGAACAAAATTGAGCAAATACGTTTCAACGACTTGAGGAGAGATATGGAAGGGCGGAAATTTCCTTTAGCTAAACATACTTCATCATTTTATCAATAGCAAGATTTTTAAGAATTTTGAAAGATCTTAAAACATGCATAAAACTTTGAAGAAATATGAAAACGTAAACAATGTTTGTTTTTGTTTATAAATTGTTTTGGTATATAATCAAAATACCCTGTAAATAGTTGTTGGAAATGGGAGTTTTATACATAGATAAAACTGTAAGAAGAATTAGAAATACTAATGATAAAAATCCTTCTCTATAAAAGCTATTCTATCAAACTCAACTTCCATATTAATAGCAATAGATTATTTGCTTTTTCAAATTTACGTAATTAGTCATCAAATGTAATATCAACAGAAAGCTTAGACATAATCGCCTTTTATAGAAAACGTCTTCAATCATACAGTTTGATTAATTTGATTTTTTCCATTTAGTCGTTGTACAATACATAGAATAGATCCATCAAATTTGTTGAATATATAATTGCATATAGTATTTACCAAATTTTATTATCTTTCCATTATATAAAACTAAACACAAAACTTGTAGTGCTTGATGCCAACAGTTCCTAATTGATCTGACGACTTTATATAATATAGTTATACGTTTCTGATAAGAATTTGCTTAGACTATGGAATTGTAGTAAAGTTTGTAGATAACCTAAATAAAGGAAAATGATTGAATAAGTTCAGATTTGAAACTGAAAGCTATGTCTTTCGGTGATATATTTGATCAGCATATGTATAGGGTATAGATCAGCTAATCATTGTTCATGTTTTCGAAATTAAATGTTGCGTTCATATCATACCTTTCATTTGGGGTATTATAAATTGATATGAAAAGGAAATACCGTATTAACTAAAAGCCTTGCCCAATTCGTAATCTGAACAGTAAGGGAAATAATTCTATTTATAACTCCCAAAAAAACAAGGTAAACTCATTTATAAAATGCCCCGTAATAGTATCTAGGCGTAAATAGAGCTATATTTAAACAGAAATTTCGATAAGCAATTGTTAGAGGTGTACAAAAAAGGAACTTTTATTAACCATGGAGTCTTATCTCAACAAATATTCAGGCGATTTTTGTATAGCTCAAAATTTGCAAAACGTTTCATACGATATCAATTCTATTTGTTTGCTTTTCACTCATTTGTTCATTTGAATAATGAAAAGCAAACGAAACGTGAAAAGCAAGAAATGTTCAAGCAAAAGCCAAGCAAATTGTAAATAAAGTCATAGATAAGAAGCAATCAAATGGAGACTTACGAATCCAAGTCCAATAACAAATAGTAAAACATATCAACTTGGAAAGTTTAGCAAGATAAATAGAAATGTTTGCATGCCCATTAAAAAATGATAAATGTGGCGTGATTGTGTAGGGGAGAAGAAGAGAAACAGAAAATCGAGAAAATGTAAATGCACTGGAATAGGCATTAGTATCTATAGCGAATTGATTTGATTTATTAAACTTTGACATTGATAAGTATATTGAGATTTTGTATATTGAGATTTTGGCATATAAACTTACATATGTAAGAGTCTTATATATTTCCAAATATTAGACCAAGGTTATTATATTTCTCAATGATAATCGAATAAGTTAGAGTATATCGATTATCGATTAAGCTACAAATGGATATCGATATACTATGGATAGATTTACTTTTAGAATACTCTGCTATTTATATTTCCAAAATATTCATAGAATAAACATACATTTTTTTTAAATATCCTATTTCTAACGAAAAAAACTATACATTTATATTGTTTTAAAAATTCTAATTTATTTAATTTCATAAGTAAACTATGTACATTGAATTTTTTCTTTTTTTGTATTTGTAAACATATTTTTCATATATGTACTTCCACTTCCAGTTTGCATTATAAGTTTCGTTTTCTTTTTGGCCACGTGGAATCACCTAAAACTTGTTTGCACTTCATTCTTAATCTGCTTCTTCTTACATTAATTCGTTCAGCCGCGCCCCCTTTTTTGTAGAATTCGGCAGAGTCATAGGATTCACTGTTTAGCCGGTCGCTCTGCCGCTCCCGATCCCTCTCTCTCTAACACTTTGGCACTCTTCATTTCGTTGCGCTTGTATAAGCTGCATATCAAATTCTTGCCGAAATGACAAGTTTTTTTTACACGAGCCGCAGTCGGCGTCGCTGCTTGTTTACGTTTACAACCGGAGAAGCAGAGCGCAAGAGAAAGAAAAAGAGCGAGAGAGAGAGAGTATGTTAGCTTGTAGMGTAAACAAAATACCAAATCATGAATATTGGAATGTGGTCCAAGCTTTTACAGCGTTTGTGTCAATGATTAAGAGAGCGCAAGCAACTTTAAGAGCGCAAGAAATGCTTCAGCTGCGCTTTGTGCGTTAAGTGAGCTGCGCATGCAAACAGCTGTTGTTTTCTATGGCCTCAAATAATGCTTAGCTAATGTAACAAATTATCGTGCTGTGAATGTATATTGTATATTTATAACCATTTCGGTTTAATTTTATTATTCATTACTTTTGTTTACAAACTTTTCTTTGTTGTTGTTTTGTTATAAATGGTCTATCGATTAACTCTGTGCGCATCGAAAGCTTTTGCTGAATAAGTTTAACAGCGGGCTAAAGCTCAGTCATTTAGATATTATGAAAGTTTTTCGTGTAAATTCAGCAAAGCAAGCAAGCGCTAACGGAAAAAGCTTTCAATTTGAATAAAATTTAGAAGAAATATTATTTATTAGTATAAATTGTATTTTTGTTTTTGTTTTTTAT